AGAAAACATTATTTAATGAAATAATAGAAGCAAATTCTCAACTCCTAGGGAAGATATGGACATACTTATCCATGAAGCTCAAAGAACCCCATATAGAATTGACCCAAAGGTCCACTCTGAGGCACATTATAATCAAACTGTCAAAAGTCAAACACAGAGTTCTAAAAGCAGCAAGAGAAAAGCACCAATTTATATATATATATATATATATTTATATATGAAAAAAAATATATATATAAAACATACATGAATGTCTATGAGACTATCAGATTTTTCAGCAGAAACTTTTCAGGCTAACAGGTGATAGGATTATACCTTTAAAGTGCTGGCAGAAACAAATACCAGCCAAGAATACTATACCCAGAAAAGCTATCCTTCTGAAATAAATAAAATATAAAATCTTTCCTAACAAGTAAAATCTGGGTAAGTTCATTACCATTAAACTACACTTACAAGAAATTCTAGAGGAGGTGCTTCAACCAGAAACAAAAGTATGATAGTTATTTTTTTAAATACTTTTTTTTAGTTGTAGTTGGACAATACCTTTATTATTTGTTTTTTATTTAATGTGGTGCTGAGGATCGAATCCAGTGCCTTACATGAGCTAGGCGAATGCTCCATCACTGAGCCACAATCTCAGCCCCAAAGTATAATTATTAAGGGGAAAACATATAAAAGTATAAATCTTACTAGGAGAGGTTAATGCATAATCAAATTCAGAACAGTACCTTACTGTAATGGTAGACTATAATGTTTCAAATCTCAAGAATGAATGTTAAAAGTGAATATGATCAATGATAACTATCAATAAGTTACTGAGGAATACATGATAAGAATCGATCTAAATAAATGCAACCAAATCATAAATTTTGTGTGTATGTGCATGTTTGTGACAGCTAGAATACTGTATGTGATCAAAATTGTTATCAACTTAAAATAGTCAAGTACTTACCACTGAGCTACATCCCCAGCCCAACTATGACATTTATACATATACATATATAGCTATAGATATATAGATATTAGTTCTTCATGGACCTTTATTTCATTTATTTTTATGTGGTCTTGAGAATCAAACCTAGTATCTCACACATGTAGGCAAGTGCTCTACCACTGAGCTACAACCCAAGCCCCAACTCTAACATTTTAAATATAAGCCCTATGTTACCACAAGGAAAAAAATTACAGCAGATACAGAAATGAAAAAGAAAAATGAATCAAAATTTACCACTACAAAAGCCCACTAAATGACAAATGAAAACAATTAAAGAGGAGAAAAAAAGGATGTATAAAACAATCAAAAACCAACAAAATGGAGTAAGTCCCTACCTATCAATAAAATTTTGAATCTAGACAAAATAAACTCTGCGATTAAAAGATACAGAGTAAATGGATGAAAACATAAGACTCAACAATATTGGGGTCTACAAAAAACTCATTTCACTTATTACAACACAAAGACTAAAAGTGAAGAAACAGAAAATATTACAAGAAAACTAAAAGAGGACAAAGCAGTATACTTACATTAGATAGAACAGAATTTAAGCCAAAACTATACAATGAGACAAAGAAGGTCATTATATAATGACAAAAGGGTCAATTCTACAGAAGGATATAAATTTTAAATATGTATGCACCTAAAACTAGAGCACTTCAATACGTATAGCAATTATTAGATCTAAAGAAAGAGACTGCAATACAATGTTAATAAGGAATGCCAACTCTCAATTCTCAGTGTTTTGCAGATCATCCAGACGGAAAATAAAAAAGAAACACTAGATTTAAACCCTACTCTAAACCAAATGGACCTCACATATTTACAGAATATTCCACCCTACAGCTGCAAGCAGAATACATATTTTTCTCAATAACATATAGAATGTTCTCCAATATAATCTAGCTTTGGGAACAAATTTTGGCTAAAATCAGCCAGAGTTTCACCTCATATGCATCTTTTTATTTTATTTTTTTGTGGTAACATGCACATACACAAAATTCAGAAGTACAAAATTCAGTGGCATTAAATGTATTCAAAAGGTTTCTTGTACCCTTTCTTATCTTTCTTTTTTTTTTTTTTTTTTTTTTTTTGTGGTGCTGGGGATTGAACCCAGGGTCTTGTGCATACAAGGAAAGCACTCTACCAACTGAGCTATATCCCCAGCCCTCTTGCACCCATTTTTAATGGACTCCATTTTAATTGTGGGTATTAGTTAATCTAAAAGATGTAGGAGTGGAATAAGCCTAAGGAAGCCCAGAAAATTTTGCCTTATTTACACCGAAATTCTGATTAAACATAGGAAAATTAAAAGTGGTATAGTAAATATACCACTACTAGAAAAACCTCTAAACTTTATTTCTATTGATAAATACAAAGTTTCATTTTCATAATGAAAACATTATGAAAGCCAGATGTTTACCTATCTTTTATGTTGCCTCAGATGGTTAATGTAGACTCTTGTAGTTTTAATTACTAAAACCTTAAGAACAGACAGAGTAATCCCTGGGCACTTCCTATTCTTTACATACAAACTGAACTTTTTTACTTCTGGTTCTCTCTTCCCTTGACTCCATGTTTCCTGAGACATTCGTTAATATTTGGAAATACTACACTCTTTCTAACTTTGAGAAAATTTGAACACTTTTTTTTAGGATGAATTTTGAAAAAACAAGTCACATCACAATAGAACTAAAGGTATACATGCTATAATATAGTAATTCCCCTTTATCATTCCAATCCCTTAGTGGAGGCCTGAAATCTCAGATAGTACCAAACCCTATAGTCATTAATTTTTTTCTTATTCATCCTTACCATAGATCTTAGCAACTTCAGCACATGATTTTTTCCTTGTTAAATCAGGAACTTTCACCTCTTCACTGAAAGAAGGCATTTCACAATTTCTCTTTGGCATATCTAGCATCACTACTTTGTGATCTGGGAACATCATTTAATAAGGGTTACCAGAACATAAGCACTGTGATATGCATACTGAGGATAATTGAGATGGCTGTTAAATGACTAATAGCTGGACAAAAGGGATGGTCCACATCTCCTGTAGGACTAAGTGGGATGAAATGTGATTTCATTATGCTAAGAATGGCATGCAATTTAAAACTTATTATTTCTGGAATTTTTTCCATTGAATACTTTTAGATCACAGTGGACTGCAGGTAACTGAAACTAGTAAAAACAATAAACGGGGTACTATTCTATTCATTCAATAACCAGCAATAAAAGAAAATATCACACTAGACAATGAGTTCTTCCTGTGTAAATGTTACCTGTTAAAACTTGCAGAGTTTGGGAAAGATAGAGGCATTTGACAAGTATCTTTTATAACTAATTCTAATATTTTAAATTAGTATTAATATTTAGCAAATTATAACTTTCAATAAATTTCTTAATTCAGAGTTCACATTTGACCTGTTATCATTTAGACAAGTGTTGTCCCCCAAAAACTCATGTGTGAAATAATGATAGAAATTCAGAGATAAAATGATCAGATTATAAGAGCTTTAACCTAATCAGTGGATTAATCCACTGATATGGATCAACTGGGTAGTTATTGTGGGCAGGTATGGTGTGGTTGGAGAAAGTAGGTCACTGGAGGCATGCCTTGAGGTTTATATTTTGTCCCTGGTGAGCAGATTTCCATGTGTGAGATGCTTCCCTCCACCATGCCCATTTGCTATTATATTGGACCTTATCCTGGACCCAGAGCTATGGAGTGGGCCAACCATGAACTGAACCTCTGAAACCATGAGCCAAAATAAACTTTCTCTTCTCCAAGTTGTTCTTGTTGGGAATTTTGTCACAGCCCTGCAAAGCTGACTAAAATATTTCTCAATTTAATGTTCATGAATTTTGTCATTACTACTTTTTATAGATGCATAAAGTCCCATGGTTTCTTATTGATTATGAAACAAGAGTGCTAGTTTCTTTCTCATGAATAACTGTATTCTAAATTGAAATTATTTTGTGTACCCTTTTACTTAATTCACATATTTATTCTGCAACTTATTTAAAGAATGAAGGTCCAAACTTGTTTAGCATCACTGGGCATGTTAGTGAGCTTATTATTTCCTAATTAGTTAAAACATGAGAGTGCTGTAGAGAATAAAGATAGTTTAGAAAGGTAACAATGTAAACAACTACTTGCTCTTCATCTTTAGTTTGAGATCACTTTTGGACAACTTTCTCATTTATATCCACGATTTGAAGTCAGTTAAATCTTTGCTGGCCACTAGGATCCATGGAGATAATTGTGGAAAAAATAAATTCATGATCTGGCTTAAAATTTTAATCTACTGTCAAAAATACTAGCAATACATGTCCTAAAAAATTCATTATCTCAGGGCTGGGGTTGTGGTTCAGTGGTAGAGCACTCACCTAGTGTGGGTGAGGCAGAGGCACTGGCTTCCATCCTCAGCATCACATACAAATAAATAAATAAAAATAAAGGCATTGTGTCCACTTACAACTAAAAAAAAATCAAAAAAATTTAAAAACTCATTATTAACTCATTTTGATTCCATCCATCATCTTTTTTGTACTCCTCATTATTTAAAACAAAATACTCAACAGTTTGATTGGGAGGGGTAATGGGGATTAAATCCAGGGGTGCTTTACAACCAAGCTTCATCCCTAGTCCTTCTTAAATTTGAGACAAGGTCTCACTACATTGAGGCAGGGTTCTAATTTGCAAACTTCCTGTCTCAGCCTCCCAGGTTGCTGGGATTTCAGGCTTGTGCCACCTTCCTGGGCCAACAGTCTGAATCTTCACAGTGAACATGGTGAGAAATTTTATGTTCCAACTGAACAAAACTCATAACTATCAAATCGGCCCTGAGATTTTAATTGTGTATAAACGCTAGTGATTATACACTTTTTGATACTTTGCTTTTTAAAATTTTATATTTATTTTTTAGTTGTAGTTGGACACAGTACGTTTATTTTATTTTTTTTATGTGGTGCTAAGGATTGAAACCAGGGTCGCCTATGTGCTAGGCTAGTGCTCTTCCGCTGAACCAGTCCCTTTGCTTTTTATTTTTATGTTTCCAGGTTTTGATCATGGCTGAGAATTGAAGGAAAAAAATTATGTGTGTACACACAATATATACACATTCATGTATATTTTTTCCCCTCGGATATTAAAAAGTCAGAAAAAAGGTAACTAAGAAAGGTATATAAATAGCCACAGGTGACTGTTATAAAAGGCACATGGAAATAAATGGCAACAAAGGCTGTTTTCATGGTACTCTCATGTCAGAAACAACTGCAAAACAATTCCAGGTGTGAAAAACATTCTTCTCGTTCTCTAAGTAGATTGATGCGTTTCATCTACTAGCAGAGGTTATGTCGAGGAAGCCTTAAGCTTATCTCAGGGCTTCGGTTGAACCACGGGAAGCTGGAGAAAGAGAAGCCAGTTATCTCCATTCCAGATGCCCAGCTGCAGACTCCTAAGCTTCGTTTGTGGGCACCCTCTTGTGGGTAGGTACTGTCTTGGAAATGGGATCCTAAAGCAAGGTGAGGCAGAAAGCCTCCCTTAGGGCCGGCTGATCGAGGAAGCTAGCGGCTATGAGGCGGGACAGTATACCTCTCTCACCGCCCACAGCGGACTCTTGTCTTTGTAGTCGCCGTTCTTCCACCCAGCTCAGCTTTCTAAGCCACCTCTAGGTTCTCTCGCGTCTTCCAGCGGACCGCCCGGTTGCTCCCACGAGCAATGGGGAGAAACCCAGAGGGCTGAGCCTGCCTTGCTTCCCAAAGGCTCCGCCGCCTGGGAGAGCCGGCCCCCGGTGGCGGATAACTGAGGGGCCAGACTCGGCAGGGGATTGCTTCTGTCTGAGGCCCGGCTGAAGCTGCGTTCGTGCCTCGCGCGCACTCGCTTCGCGTTCTCCCAGCCAATCCGAAGCTACTCGCGCGCCCGAAGCGTTCCCCAGTCCTACTCTGGCTGGGCCGGCTCCTTCCCGCTCCCAGTACTCCGCGTCTATGCAATCCCTCCTCCCCTCACTCTCCAAGAGTTGCACGCCCCGGGGTGTAGCTCCGCCCCTGTCCCCGAGTCCGCCTCCGCAACCTCCTGAGCGTGTGCTCTCTTTTCCCTCAGTCTCTTGGCATCTAGGCGTCTTGGGTCTTACGCCCCGCAGAACTGCACGCGCGTGTCTCTGGCCTTACTCCGCCGCCTCCACGCGCTTCCCCAGTGCGGCCACCGCGTACCCCACCACAGCTTGCCTCTTCTCAGCTGGTCTCGGGGTCGCGCCCTCTGGCTCCGCCCCCTCCGCGGACCCGCGCATTCCTGGCGCGGCCTTCCCCCCCCAATACAGGCCACCGGGTGCTCTGCCGCCTCCTCCTCCATCTCGGCTCGCCTTGCGCTCTCAGGGCGCCCTCGCTCTCGCGCTCTCCGAGGCGAGCGCGCTCCCGGGCCGCGCGCTCCGGGCTCCGGCTTCTCCGGGCTCCTGTCAGTGCGGTGACTGCGCTGGGAAACATGGCGACCGAGGGAATGATCCTCACTAACCACGACCATCAAATCCGTGTCGGAGTCCTCACAGGTAACCCGGGGAGGAGGTCCGGGACTGCCGCGGCCGCTGTCCCCGACTTGCCTGGGGCTTCTCGCTTGTGGTGGCCCTTCTCTGCGGCCTCGGGAAGAGGAAAGGCTGAGGAGGGCGACCTGGGGGTGCATTTTTACAACCGCTGAAAACTGCTGGAGATTGGGGTGTTTCCGCGTGTTCCCCTGAGAGCTGGGGGAGGCCCCGTGGGGTGTCAGGCCCCAGCGCCTGGGCAGCAGAAGTCTCTGGCCCCCGGGGACCTAGCGGCCGGTGCGGCGGGCGCTGCGGGGCTCCGCGCTGCCGGTGCAGGCGGCGGGATCCCGGCTCCGCAGTCAGGAGCACGCCGCTCCCGGCTGGCCCGGCGCATCCTCAGCTAAAGCTCTTCCGAGAGGGGGGAATCCCATCTCCACCCCCTTCTCCCCTCCCCCCACCCGGCGGCCCCACGCCGCTCTAGCTGAGCTTGCCCGGGGTAGCGCCCGGACAAGACTCTGGTGTTCACAGGAGAAACTATGCTCCTCCTCAGGCTGCCTCTCCGTACCCCCTTGGCCACCCGTGGGACACCCTTCGTCTCCTTCGAGAGCTGGGAAATCGGCTTGGGTCCGGACCTCAGAAAGTGTCTGCATTCGCTTTTCGGAGCTAAGGGCCCTCTGCCTGCCTCTTCAGGTCCTTAGCGAGGACCGGCTGCAGGCTGCGGCCGGGGATCCGGCCCTTTTCACCTGAGGTGGAAGGATTCCCCTACTCTGGCTCCTTTCTCCGCCTCCCTTCTGGGAACCCCCCTACTCCTCCCCCAACCCCCCCACCGTGGATGGTCCCGAGGCTGGTAGGAGAGCACTTTTCCCGGGTGGCGTTTCCCTCCCTCGCGGAAATCGTGTGTGCTCTGCATGTCTGATTCCGTTGCGTTGTATTTGGGTAACATCCCTCAGTTTGGCGATAGGCAGTTGCTGCAGGGTACGGACTTCCAAGATGAATAGCAAGCCGATTTGTAGGGGTTTCTGCTGTGGTTCTGTAATTGGAAGGATTTATGTGTAATTGAGTGGCGAGGCGGGGGTTAAAGAACTATATTTGGAATCCGAGGGCTTAGTTTGGAGTGAAGGAAATTCAAGACTCTTTCGGAAAAAGAAGCAATGTGGATGGAAATCCTAGTGTCTCCCCCACTTCTTTTTTGATTTTTTTTCCTTGTCAAATTCTGACAGGTTGAGACGGTGCTCGAGAAGGGACTAAATTGAATAAGACTTGCTTTTATTATTAGGTGGCAAAAAAAAAAAATCTCCGCGACTGCAGGGAGATGCCGAGTTTAATGCTTAATTTAGCTACGGAGTTTTATGAAAAGAGGATACCCACTGCCCCCTTTCCTCTCTTAAGGAAACGGATTGCCTTTCGTTGGCATTCTTTGCAGACATAACAGCGATTTATCGGATTTTCCTAATTGAAAACGCCCTGGGATAGAGAAAGTAGTCTAAACCAGCTGTAGGAAAGGGAACCTCTTAAATAAAGATGATGCACGTTTCTGTGTTGGGGCTGAAACTGTTTCCTTGTGTGAAGATGCAGTTGTGTCTCAGAATTCTTAGAGTTGACATTACTGATTTTCAAAGAATCCGATCATGGTATGTAAAGGTGTGTACTCTATCAATCCTCAACTTACACTTTTAAGTTTTCATGCTTTGAAAATTATAGAATAGTAACAGTGAAGTTTAATAGACACCAAAATATGTAAGTTGTCCATAAGATGAAAAACATAGATATGTAAGGGGTAAACTATAGAGATTTTTTTAAAAAGAGCATTTTTTGTTTGTGTAAGCTTTTCCTAATATTTTTATTTAATGAAGAGGATTCATCAAGTAACACTGTAGTTAGGTGTTGTAATAAGTGTTTTATAAGAAATAGCCCTTACCTGGTATATAACTACAATCCAATAAGATAACATTGATAAGCAAACAACTGAACAATATGTAATTACCATATAAGAAATGTCTATATGTTACACATTTGGGAGCTAAATGCAAAAGTAATTCCACATTCAGATGGAATAGTAGCAAAAGTGATTACCTGAAGGAAGAATTTAGTACATTTACCAGGGTCTAGAAGAAACTGGCATTTTTAAGGGGAGTTGAAAGTCAACAGCAACCTTATAAGTAAATATGTAATTGAGGCTGAGTCTCTTGACCAGGATAAAAGTGCTCCTTGAAAAACTCAGTTTTTTTTTCCAAGAAATAGGGTGACATATTGTCAAGGTGAGATTATAACTTTGACAGTGGAATTTAAGACAATTTGGAGTTGTCTCATGAGAATGAGGTACAGTAGTCTACCAGGAAAAGTCTAGATCAGGAATAAGGATGTAGCTGAAAGAATGAAAAGGAAGCTGCAAAATTTGGAAGACGTAACAGAGGGCAATAGAATTTGATGATAAAATGGATATTTGAACTCAGAAATTACTTCAGGGCTTTTTTTTTGAAAAGTTACTCAATAACTTTGAAGTTATTCAAGAGAATGCTGTAAATACAGTGTTATTTACTATGATGAAATCTAAAAACCTGGAGAAGTATCAGGAGAGAGCACTAGCTCTTTATTACACACAGCTTAATTATTGAGTCCTGCTGTTCCTTGTGATTTTTTTTTTTTTTTTGCGGGGGGAAGCTAAAAAAAAAAAACCAACCCTGCAGGTATATTTTGGAATTTTGTATATTCTAGAACTTCAGGTGTTAGCAATATTACTATGTAAAATTGTTCTGTATTCAACTAAAGTATTATGATTCCATACTTAAGAAAACTGAGTTAAAGCCAGTTGTGATGGTGCACACCTATAATCCCAGTGGCTCTGAAGGCTGAGGCAGGAGGATCAAAAGTTCAAAGCCAGCCTCAGCAACTTAGCAAGACCCTGCCTCTAAATAAAATATAAAAAAGGGTTGGGGTGTGGTTCAGTGTTAAGTGCACTTGGATTCAATTCCTGGTACATAAAATAAATAAAAAGTAAAAACAAAAACAAATTCCAAAATACAAAAGACTGAGTTAATAGCTCAGTAATAGAGCACTTGCCCAACATGCACAAGGCCCCTGGGTTTAATCAGCAAGACTGAAAAAAAAAAAAGAAAGAAAGAAAGAAAGAAAGAAAGAAAGAAAGAAAGAAAGAAAGAAAGAAAGAAAATTGAATTAACAAGCCAAACTTAAATGTGTTTTTTTTTACAAGTTATATTTGTGTTTTTTCTTTTTTTTTAATCGGTGGAGGTCTTGTTTATAAAATCTCCTTGGCATTTTTCACAATAGTAATTTTAGGCATATTATCTAAATCTATTTTACAAAGTAATGAAAAGTATGTTTACCAACATATATATGTTTTACAGTGTGTTTAATATTTCAGTGAAATTGTATTGTTATTTTTAAAGTTCTTAATTGACTTCTTTGTGACAACTTGATTACCTGTTGAAAGATACTTGTACTTTGAAACTTCATCCTCTACATATTTTTGTTAAAATATGAATTCTGCAAATATAGTCCACAGTCTTTTGAAGTTTTTCACCAGGTGAATTTAACTGTTAGAATTTTGAAAAAAGTGTCAGCAAAAAGTGAAATATTTAGGGTGTTTCTTGTTTTGCTTGACTATCTCGAATCATTTAAGACTTTGTCAGACTACAATGTTATGTGGATATTTTAGTTATATTAACCTTTTATCAGGAAAGAGAACATATATGCATTTGAAAGTAGGTTGTAGGTGGAAACATTTTGTGGTGAAGATTATTGTTCCTCTCTAAGAGCATTATCTTTATTAATAACTATCTTTTGTTGATTTGCCAGAAATGAAATTGTGTGGTTTTTGGTGACCTCTGAGGTCTAGTTTTTACTATTTTTGTTTCTAATGTTCTCTATTTGTATTACTATTTATAGTGGAAACTAAAGATGATTTTTAATGATGTGGGACAAATAAACAAGTATATGTTGCTTTTAAACTAAAGATAAGATGTAGGGCAGATATAGAATTTTTTAGATAGCTTCTGTAGTAAATATAGTCAGTCTAAATAATTATATAACAGGCTCACTATATCTTGAATGTGTCACTTTTCACCTACTTTTTCTATTTTGAAAGAAACTATTTATCAAGGCAGCACATTTGTTCAACTACTGTAAAAGCTTCACAGAAATATTACCAGGAAAAAAATGAATACATGTATGTAATATAGAATTAATTATGTTCCATTGGCTATTTAATATATAACAGCTATTCATGGCTAATGTTTGTTACCAAGGTATTTAACTAAGGATGATAATCTGTTAGTTTTCACTAACAGTGACATGGGTAAGAAGATGATGAAAATTTTTAGGAAAGGGCATATTTAAAAATCATATTTTATAGTAATACATATGTTTATTTCACTAAGCTATAAATTCGAAATCAATAAGAGATATTGATATAAAACTGGGAGTGGAGATTAAAGGCTAAATGCAAACTAAGACATCAGAAGTATTACAGTTACATGTAGAGAGTGTTTCAGTCATTCATAAATAGTCATTCAAAATATTCAAAACCACATTCTAAAGACAAGATGCTACTCTTAGAACTCTGGAATTGTTCAAGCATTTATTTTGTTTTATTCCCCAGACTTACCTTGTATGTTATGTCCCATTGTTCTCCTCCTCTTTCTCTTTTTTTTTTTTCTGAACTGAGGATCAATGCTTTGCATGTGCTAGGTGAGTGTGCCACCACGGAGCTACATTCATAGTCTCAATATTTTATGAAAAGCTCATTTACTGCTAAGGATATAAACATATCTTTGTTTTGAGAATAAACGTTGTCATTGAGTAGGTAATTCATTACCGCACACAAATGTATCCTATCAGATGGAATTCTATGTTCTGTTAAACTTACCTCTTTTAAAAAAAAGTTTTAGTGTTAAGCTATATGACTTGTTTTAAAAAAGCCTGTTTTTCAAACTTGATTATTCTTTCATTAATTTTTGGTTGGAAGCAATACAAAGAATTAAATGTGAGAAAATGTTATTAATTTTTAATCA